TTCATGACGACTCACTCAGCAGCTGGTATGAATTAAGTGGGACTTTCTCTTGGTGACAGTAAAATCTTAAACAAGGCTAACATTAAAAAACAGCCTGGTGAGAACACCGGAGTTTGAGCAATCTTCAAAACTTGAGTCAGTTCACTCAGATGCTGCACCGTCTCAGCAGTTAGCAAAATCCGACATGCGGCTTCAGCGAGGTGCTGCCATGACGTAGTGTCTGCTCCTCACTTTCGCGGCAATGACTCCGTGGAGGTCAAACTGCTCCCATGATGTGTTTTATCCTGTAGCCATTCGCCCAGTTAGACACATGAGTAAACAGAGGCAGGAGACTGATGTGGATGTGGCATCAGGGGCCAGGTTTTCTCTGGTTTGTTCCAAGAAGTTTTCCACAGAATCCCAGAAGGCCACCCTGTGGTTCATAATGGGGGATGGTTTTGCCACCCCGAGGGACATTTGGCTGTGTCTGGAGACATTTTTGGTTATCATGGCTGGAGGGGTGCTACCGGCATCTGGTGTGCAGAGGCTAGGGATGCTGCTAAACATCTACCGTGCTCAGGACAGGCCCCACAACAAAGAATTTTCTAGCCCGAAATTTTAATGGAGCTGAGGTTGAGAAAGTCTGCTCTAATATAAACTGATCCCAAATCCCCAGTGACTTGGTGGTTTCGGGTCATTAACTGACTTAATGAAAAGGATGCTAGATATGGTGAAAACAGATCTTTTGAAAAATCATGTAATTGCTGTGTTTTAACAGTACATATGTCTTGCCTAGTCTCTAAATACCATTCCCCACTAAAAGGAATCAAGGCTCTTGAGAAACGGCCGATCCAGAGCTGGGATAGATGAGCGACGAAGGCATCAGAGGCTATGGGGATAAAGGATACAGGAGCCGACCTGAAGGGACTCTCTTCTGGCCAAATATGGGATGATTTGGAGCATTACAAAGAAAAATGCAAATATGTTAAAATCCACATCTGCAAGTTGAAAGAAAACCTTGTGGTCAAAAGATGAAAAGCTACCTCAGGATCTTGTGGCTTCTAGAGGTTTCCTTTATTTAAAAAAAATACTCCCATTGCCTCTTGAACCCAGGTGTTCTCATTTCCCTTTAGCGTTATCAACAATGGAGGAAAGGAAGCTGCTCCGGAAAAGGAGCCAGAATGAGGGTGCACAGTGATCACACTGTCATTGTCAAATGAACCACTACCGCAAACATACTCTGTGATGGTTGCAGCTCATTGGGCTGGGGAGCGGGGGTAGGGCGGAGGGGGGAGGGAGGGAGAGAGAGAGAAATGTGAACAGGTGATCGCAGAGTAGTCGGATACATCCATGGCATGCTTCAGGTGGAATTGTTCTCTAGAACCGAAAACCCAACTCAGAAGAGTGTTGAAATTAATTTCTAGGCCCAAGATGGAGCTGCTCCTGCCCAGAAGTCCATGTCAACAAACCAAACTTGTTTTCCTGTAAATGCTCCGTGTGACCAGAAACGCCGTATGTCCAGTCAGCCAATCCCCAAACGCCAAGCCAACTCTGGGTTCTATACTTATCTCCTTGTTCCTTGATCTTTCTGAATAAGGTCAGATGTGCAACCCCAGCCACCCATGCCCCATTTCTCCATTGCTGCTTCTTTTGCCTTATAAAACTCGCTCTTGCCACAATTCCCTGGGGAAGTGTGCTCCACCGCTTGTGAAGCACTGCACTCCCCCAGTCCATGGATTGTTTCCTCTCACATAAAGAACATCAAACTTGTTACTAAATTGTTTTAGTTTTGTCATTCGTGAGTTCAAACAATAAAAGGAAGTTATTGAAACATATAATCAAGAATGTCTAGACAGCACTACTACTAGCATGGTCATGGACCAGTGTCTATGAGTTTGTTATTGGTCTACAATGATACATAATGACTACATTGTTGAAACAACCATGTGCCCAACCATCTTTCCACAAACTTCCTTTCCTCCATTGTTGCTAATGCTAAAGAATAATGAGAACACCTGGGTTTAAGAGGCAACGGGAAGTACCACTTTTTATAAGGGAGTCCATTAGAAGCCACGTGGTTCAGTTGTATTGCACGTTACGAAAGTATCAGGCAATAAGATAACAGCAATATAAAACCAGAAACAAAAAACAAAACTGCCTTTATCATAGACAGTTTGAGAAGCACTGGCCTAGGGTGGTGATTTATAATTCCGGCTGCTCATCAGAATACCTGGTGAGTTTTGACAACTAGTAATATGATGCCCAGAGATTTTCATTCAGTTGGCCTAGGGTGGGGCCCAGGTCTGGGTAGTTTTAGAAGCTTAGCGGGTAGTTCTAATGTATAGCCAGAGTTGACAATTACACTGGCCTAGATGAGATTTGACCCACTGGTCAGGAATGTCATCAAGGACTTGAGTTCCCATAGCACTACACGCTCATATTAGAAAAGAAGAACGATCTCACATCAATGACCTCAGCTTATACCTTAAGAAACTAGAGAAAGATGAGCAAATTAAATCCAAAATAAGCAAATGAAAAAAATAAGGTCAAAGATGAAATCGATGAAAGAAAAATCAGAACAAGAGAGAAAAATCAATAAAACCAAAAGCTGGTTCTTTGAGAAAATCAATAAAATTGATAAACCTATAGTCAGATTGATTAGGAAAATAATTGAAAAAAAAAAACCCCAAAAACGCAAACTACCAAGATCAAGAATGAGGTGGGGTCTCATTGCGGGGCTGGATGAAAAAGGTGAAGGAATTAAGAAGTACAAATTGTTAGTTACAAAATAGTCACAGCGATGTAAAGTACAGCACAGGGAATGTAGTCGATGATACTGTGATAACTATGTACAGTGCCAGGTGGATACTAGAGTAATCGGAGAGATCTTTGTAAATTATATAAATGTCTAACCGCTCTGCTGTACACCCGAACTAATATAAAATAATATTGAATGTCAACGCTGGTTGAAAAATAAAAATTAATAAAAGAGAAAAAAGAATAAGAGAAGGGACATCACTATAGATTACACAGAAATTAAAAAGATAATAAGGGAATATTATGAACATCTTTATGCAAATAAATTTAATAACGTAGATGAATTGACAAATTCCTTGAGAGACGCAAACTACCAAAGCTTGCTCAAGAAGAAATAGATAATTTGGATTGCCCTATATTTATTAAATAAATTAAATTGGTAGCTAAAAGCCTTCTCACAAAGAAAACTCCAGGCCCACATGGCTTTACTGGTGAATTCCACTCAATATTTAAAGACAAAACAATGCCACTGCTACACAAACTCTTCCAGAAAAATTAAAATTAAACTCTTCCAGAAAAATTAAAATACTTCCCAACTCATTTTTTGATACCAGCATTACTCTAAATCCAAAACCAAAGATATTACAGGAAAATATGTAGAAATCCTTAAAATCCCAACAGCTACCCAAGTGGCACCTGTTCTGGAGATACTCATCACTGCTGTCTGCCCCTCTACAGCAGTTTTGAAAAGAAGTTATCCCAACCCAGAACCTGGACCTTACATGGCCTTGAACTGTATGTAGCATATGACTTTCTTCTTCCTGGTTCCATATATTTGCAGCCATTAAACTTATGTCTGGAGACTGTGCTGAAACCTAATCAGATGGCCTGCTCAGGAGGTGGAACTCAGAGACACAAAGGGAAGGAAGAACTGATGTTGGGAGCTGAGGATAGAGATTCACAGTGACTATGCAGCTGTGACAGCTGCTTTGGAATCACGAGGAGAAAAGAGAGAAAGTGAGTCCAAAGAGGGGATTGGGGCAGATGCGTAATAGGCAGAAATTATGTGAGACATAAAGAGAGATAGATAGAGCGCTAAAAATGAGAGAGCGCCCCAATTTTCTGTCTCTTGTGAAGCCTAGCTCTTCAGATGCTTCTGGATTCATGGAAGACAGTGAACGAATTTCTGTTTCTTATAGCTCAAACTGGCCTGACTAACCAAAATGTTCAAAAAAAAGTTCGGTTCCTGCCTTTCCTGCAGGTTAAGTCCTTGGTGTCACCTATTAGCCTAAGGACACCATGGGCCACATCTTCTTCATTCCCAAAGGCCTCAGAGATTTAATTGGATTCTCTTTTCGTGTGTGTGTGTGTGTGTGTGTGTGTGTGTGTTTTAATTGTTTAAGGCATAACATACATATAGTAAAGTAAATCTTAAGTGTGCGCCTGAATGAATTTTTACACACACACACACATAAACAAACACACACATCCTATGTAATTTTAATTGTTTAAGGCATAACGTACATATAGTAAAGTAAATCTTAAGTGTATGCCTGAATGAATTTTTACACACACACATAAACAAACACACACATCCTATGTAACTACCACCTAGATACAGAACATTTGCAATACTTACAGGTTTACTCTTCCTACTCTATGGAGTCTCAGTTCAGATTATGAGCAGTTGGTTGGGCTGTCTATGTGCTATGGATTGAACTGTATCACCTTATAATTCATATGTTGAAACCCTAACCTTCAATGTGACTATATTTGGAGCTAGGGTCTTTAGGAGGTCATTAAGGTTAAATGAAGACATAAAGGTAGGGCCCTAGTCTGACAGAATTGGTATCTGTATAAGAAGAAAAAGCGAAACCAGAGTTCTCTCCTTCTTTCTCTCCCCTACGCACACAAAGAAGAGGTCATGTGAGCTCACGGCGAGATGGTGGCCATCTATAAGCCAGGAGAAGAGGCCTCAGAATGGAACCTACCTAGCCAGCACCTTCATGATGGACCTCCCAGCCTCCAGAACTGTGAGAAATGAATTTCTGTCAAGGCACCCAATCTATGGGATTTCTGACGGCAGCTCGAGCAGACTAATATACCATGTGATCCATACCGAGAACAAAAAATGGAGAGAGAAGTTCTGAACAAAAAACTACCCTTTAAGGGAGTGTGGGCAGCTGGCCCACAGTACGAGCAGGTGGCCTAGGCCCAGCATGGGTGGGAGGAGAGTGCCAGCAGCACAGCCTGGGAAACAGGCAGCCCCTCCGGCCGCGAAGTCCAGTCTACTTCCAGGCTGCCTTGGACATTATTGCAAGGAGATGTTCGATAAATTTGGAACCATAGTTAAATGTCAACCAACAGCCTCTCACTCATCTGTCCCTTAGGAAGTGCTCCAAGACATCCCAACAATCTAACAGGGATTTCATTTTATGTTCCTGATCCGAATGGAAGCCTGCGGGTACACCTCTCTGAGCACTGACTTGTTAGCAAAAACTAAGCCCTCGCCACAGGATGGACTCAGTGCAATTTACCAGCTAGAATGTACTATACCATCTCTAAAAACGATGCACTGTACCGCAAAGACTTTACTCTGGTATAAAATGGTAACCCCTCCTCACCTGGATAGTGGTGAAACGTTGGCCAGGAGTAGCTGTGAGGGGTTAGTCCTGGTCCAGGCCCCCTCACTTGGTCACTGTCCTGTGGGCTGTCCATTCGCAGGATTATTCCTTATGCCTTTTTTGTGTATCATGTTTCACAAAAGCTTTGTAAAAAACAGTCATACAAAGAAAGGTCGGTATGCATGGTATCACAGACACTGCAGGGCATGGTTCGCGCCGCGCTGTAGTGCAGAGACCACCATCTCCCCAGTAGGATCCTGAGGCCAACGGCAGCACCTCCCAGACTGGGCCCATCGAGGGTGCTGGAACCTCTGTGCTAGTGGGTCTGGAGTCTTGGGAGAAGCCGCCCTTGCTACAGAGAGCCAAGCCTGGTATTTTGTGTGAGGTGCTCAGGCTGCAGACACCATCGTCTCTGTCAGGGTGTTGGGGGCGCTTCTCACCGATTTAAAAAGGAGGCGCATGATAGACGTGGCCAGACTGGGAAAAATAAACAAGCAAACCAGCAGACCCCAAATCCCCAACCTTGCTTCTGGTCCTTGGGTGACTGCTACACACCGCCACGCCACGGAAGAACGGGAGAGTGGATGCTGAGGCCCACCGCCCGGCTCTCTCTCTTCCGGGTCAGTTCTTTAATCGGCTTCTCCAAAGTTTCTCTCAATCCCCCACCCCATCTCCCTGCTGCTGCCCCGAGCACACTCCCTCTCTTCCTATTGAACAGAGCGAAGAACCCATTGGTTCTATAACCTCAAATCAGTAAGCCTCTCTCACTGGCGTCAGCCTCTTTCCTCCCAATCCTATGCTTTGCATCAGCATTTAAACAAGATCAGGTCTTTTCCATTAAAAGTAGTCCCCCTGATTTCTTCTCCCCTCCTACTCTTTTCAATTGCTCTGCTCCCCTACGCTCCCCTAAGTTCCCTTCTTTACGCTCACCCTGAATTTTAGTTCTGTTAAAATAAGAAATGAGGCAGAAATGCCTAGACACCAAGAAACCCGGACACCAGTCCAATGCGTATATTCTATGTTCCCTTTCTTTCTACAACGGTATCACACAGATCTGGTTATTGCCACACTGGTGTCGGTCTCCTGGGTTCTTTAAAAAAATATCCAAGGAGAATTGGATCCCCAAGTTTTGGGGGAGCTGACACAGCGTGTCCACAACCAAACACCCTGTTTCAAACGGAGAGCATCTCCCGAATCTCTTTCTAGCCTGTTCTGGGAGCAGAGATAATTAGCAAGCACCTTCCAATCCCAGCTCCATTTCCACATCAGGGCTGGCCCCTCTATGTTCAGTAACTGGCACAATTTTGGGACAAGCCTTTTTCTTAGGAAGTTTTGAAAACATTCCATATTCAATTTGTACCAAAAATGTTAACTGTGTCTTTGTGTGAAAGAGAAACACAGATTTCGATGGGACTTTGAATCGTAAACAGTCATAATTTGTTTTGTTTATCTTTGTTCCAGAAAGAGAAGAAAACAATATAGCTGCATGATGGTATTACACGGTTTTCAGGCCTTTGAATTTAACCACAGGGCCCCTGGACTATCTTCAGAGCCAAGTTTCTAGAAAGCACTGTCTATAAAGTACTGTGTTTTACTTTCTCATCTCCTATTCCTTCCTTTCCTTTCTGGAGTCCAACATCTGTGGTTCCCATCCGCCCACCACAGCAGCTCTCCCCTCGGACCTCACCAACTTCCGGTTGCTCTATCCAGTGGGCTCTATCAGTCCTCATCATTCTCGGCCTCCTACTGCCACTTGACGTTTGGGGCCTCTTCCTGTGTGAAAGCCTCCCTTTCCCCAGCGTCTGCAGCACTGCATCCTGGGGCAGCTCTGACGTGGGTGTGGGTGTGGGAGTGTGTAGGGGAGAGGTGCACCATAAGACAGCTTCATCTCCATCTTTCATAGGAGGAGGTTGGAAATCGGGAGATGACAGTTCGAACTGAAAAATCGATCGATAATCAGATGAACATATTATTAAGAATTATATGACTTAAAAGAACTTAAAAAGTTTGAACTCCACAGGGCTGGATTAGGGGACTGTTACTATTTAACCAATGCTTATTGTATAACGGACCAAATAAAAATTAAATCGGGAAAATTAATAACACAGATCAAATCAGAGCCGCTCTGCTTGGGCTAAGAGGATGACTCCGGCCGCCACCCATCCCTAGGACTCTCACATCATAACCGGAAACTAGACAAACCATGGCTTCCAGAAATTCCCAGGAAACAGACAACCGCCAAATGCCTTCCATGAGAAATAGCCTCTTGGACTACAATTAGCGTCTCTGTGATTCAGGACTGGAGAATTTTGCTGCATTTAGTTTCTGCAAAGCTAATGCAGACATCTCCCTTTTGTGGTTTCCTCAGTCAACATTCAGATCTTAGAGTCTCTCTCCCAGACTGTAGTGCCTGAAACCTACAAATGGTCATGGCACCCATGTTAGAGAAGCTATGTCTTTTTGAGGTGTTTTCTCCTGGCTGAAGATGTGTCTTCCTGGTCCTGCTTCTTGGTCCTGCACTCTCACAGGAATGCAAGGAGGAGGCCTTGACAAAGCTCATAAGAGAAAGCTCTGTTCCCAGAGCTGTCTCTGACAATATGTAGAATTTTTCAGACACAATCTTGGCCAGTTTAAATCAAGGAAATTGCATATCTTGGTTAGATGCTTCCTGGGCCAATTTTTACATAGATTCCCAGCAATGTCAATGCATGGTATGTAATTATAATATCTTTAAATGAGGAAGACGCTGCATGAAGCTGCTAATGCAACATGCTGCATTTAGAAAAACTTTCAGCTTGAATCATGTAGAACAGGGACATATTTTTACTATCTTATTTCACAGTCACATGTGAAATATGTCCTTTTTAAGCCTTGGGAATTCATATATTTATAAAAAGTGCAAAAGGGAGCATTACATCGGGGGTCTGCTCCAGGAGTTTCCAGGAGCACCTCTTTTTGTAGGGTAACAGAAAAGAATTTTTTGAGGCATATCCCCACCATTTGTCCTTTATCTGAGAACTCTCACACCCACTGCCATTCCCAAGAGCAAACCCTGCGCCTTCCCCCAACACCCAGGAGCACTCGCAGAGAGCCATGGTTCAAAGGGATGGCTGGCTCCAAGGAAGTACTCCAGAGGCTGAGCCACTTGCTCTCTCTGCCTGGGCCCCGGGCTGGGAAGGGGTTGGAATTGGGACTCCTAGAGACAGGGTCAGTTAGTACGGGGAACCAAACTTGTTAGGGTCATCAGACGGCCAGCCATGTTTCGGCTGGAGTGTGAAGAGAGGGAGAGAGGAAAAAGTAGATATGCTGGGGAAGCAGAGATGAGAGATCTCGTCTTGAGAGAGACAGGTCATCAGGCCGAGACCAACAGAAGCCAGGAGACAGAGGCCAAGTGACAGGAGGATGGAAGGACAAAGACAAAATAAGGAAAAAAAAAAAAAAAAAAGATGACAGAAGTATAGACTGAAAGGAAGACAAAAGGACCAGGAGCCCCACACTGGCTCCCCACACATCCCCCCAACCCCAGGCCAGGCTGCCCCTCTGCCCAGATCCGGGAGCTGGGCCTGCCATTCTCATCAGGTAAATCATTTTTTCTTATTCTGGTGGAAGACATTCTCTTTCAGCAAAATCCCTGCGTGAGTCAGTGACCAGACAGTGCTTGGCATTGAAGGGAACTAGGGCTGCTGCACTGTGTCTGTTCTGGTAATTTATTTTTATACTTTTTGGGGGACGGGGCATTCGGTGTGTTTTTTTCCCCAAAGGGATGGTTAGAATTAAGCATGTGACTCAGTATAATAAAACTTGCTAAGTATGTCTCTTTGTTCAGACAACGATATTTTTTTTTTCCTAACTCTAGTCATCAAGTCACTGCTGCTGTAGGAGTGACACTTAAGTGACTGGGTTTTTATTTTTGTCCCCAAGGTACAAAAAGTACTGCTCACTTTCTTACTGTGCACAGGATGGGTGCTGTGTCCAAGACGATTATTCTGGAGCTTCAAGGAGCTGGGAACGAACGGTTGATCCATGGAGAGATATGCCTTGGTCATCTCTGCACAGTAAAAACCCCACAACGGCAGGTGTTGAGACTGTTCCGCTAACCAGCTTGTAGCACACAGTAGCTACTCAATAAACACGGCTGGAAGAATGAACAGGGGTCATACAAACAGGAGATCGTGGATATAACCTGGCCCTAGTAGCAGGAGTAGGAGGAAGGAAAGCAGGGGGCCAAAGATCTGGGCTTCAGGGGTCTCCCCATTTCCAGACCCCTGGGTGGCCCCTTTCCCGCCATGTGGCTGGCTGTTACGCCCACCTGCATAGGGCTGGAGTGTGTCTTCAGCTGTGCCTTCTCTGGGACTTTGAGGCTCAGGAGGAAGGGGAGAAAGCAGGCTCACTGAGGTTCTGGCTCTCATCAAAGGACACAAGGTGGCTCCAGCTTCAGAGGGTCATGCTCACGAGAGTGGGAGCCATAGGGGCGTCTGAGAGAGGGATCTGGGCTGCCCTTTCTTGTCACAATGAACACGCTGGGCTCCAGAGATGTTGTCATCGCTTTCAAGCCCCTTCACTGCTTCCAGCGTCCCTGCCTCACTTCTTCAGGGTGGGGTGGGGTGGTAATGTGTGCCCAGCCTGAGCTCATTCCAGCTGTACAGTGCTCACGGAACTGGGAAGACTGTCCTGCAGGGGACCATCTAAGGGCCAAGAGGCCTGCAATGTCACAGAGCTGCAGCTGCCAGTGGCGAGCTGGCTGCAAACTCCCCAGCTGTCCTATGGGGAAAGTTGAGTTGGCCCTGCAAGCCCCATCTCGGTGGGAGTGACCAGAGCTCTTCCTTTTCAGGTGTCCTTTACTCTTTGCCTTTCACCAAAGGCCCTTGAGGCTATTTTCCTGAGGTTCTGGTCCAGGATTTCCTTCAGCTGTCTCCTGGGCATCAGGAGTCCAGGGAGGCAATAAGGATTCTGTGGTTTACAGTCTACTGTCTCAGGCAGCAACTGTTGCCTGAGAAGTTCAAAGCTGTCTTGATTATCAAAAATTTTGAAAGTCATCTTTGTTCTTTTCTGCTTGAAATTTAAAAGAAGTATTTATTTTTCCATCACATTTAGGAATTTTACCAGGATCTATTGTAGGGTCAGGTTGGCTTCTCATTTTAATTGGTATAAGATGAGCCATTCGGTTCATTATAAAGTCATTCATTCTTTTATTTAGCAAATATTAAGAGCTTACTATGTGCTAGGCATTATTTTAAGTTCTGGGGAGACAGCAATTAAGAAAACAGACAAAACTCACTGCCCGTGTGTGTGTGTGTGCGTGTGTGTGTGTGTAAGAGAGAAAGAGAGAGAGAGAATAAGGAAGTTCTGATTATTGATTCTGTTCTACTTGATTCATTCAGAAACGTCAGGGATTTTCCCCCCACATTGTATCTTCCCACTTACTCCTAAAATCGGACATTTTCCCAGCTTTCCTTTCATTTTCCCATTAATTTCCCCCACTTGCCACCTAGGTTTCTCTTGTCTGTCTTCTGTTTAATAATTCAGTCTCCTGCAATCCTATTAATCACAGCTTCCAGTGATGAGCTAATGTGACAGGGCACCTGGTTCCCCTGCACTGTCCTTGTCTAATCGCCCTGCGAATATGTAATAGCTATTTCCTAAAATCTTTCATTTCATGTGAGGCCTTTTCAGAGAATAAGATTATCAACATAATTTCACTGCTTTCTGCTTTTACTTCTGTGCTCAGGGCTTTCTTGCTGGGATCAGATTCATTTTCTTCCTCTTATATTCAGACTTCCTTGCAATTTATGTGTCGGTACAATAAGCACAAGTGGATTTGCTTTTAAATCTCTAAATCTTGTAGTATGTGTGTGTAGTATATGTGTGTTCAAAATGAAGGAGAGGGAGGAAAACGGGAAGGAGAGGAAGGAACAATTTAAATAGTACCGTACAGGCTGTCTCTCTTTCTACTCAATGCACGCCCCATAGTGAGCACAGGTGGAACGTCCGCTGGGGACCTGTGGTTCTGTGTGGGTCTAGGGTCCCACGTGCCTTTTATACTGTGAGCATGTCATCACGAGGAGTGGGACTTTAATGTCGGAAGATGTGTGTTTTTCATACAAGACCCAGAAGGCAAACCAACTACTTCATCTGGGTGCTCAAGCAAAAAAGAAACAGCCATCTGTTCCCACTTGGAAAGAAAAATTGGCTGAACTGGAATTTTGATAGGTGTTACTGTACAGTAGAGAAATTTATGGGTAATTTAAGGGTTTTCATAAGCTTTACATGGAGATTTTAGAATCCAGTCCTCAGGTAAGATGTGCCCTAGCCATGCCAACTGCACATCTGAGGTGCCACAGTCCCGCTGTCTGACTAAAGCGGGCAGATGTCTCTTCCTAGAGCCTCCAATTTATAGGCCCCTTGACAACTTATGACAGGATGAGCCAATAAGATTCCTCCTCTCTGGCATCTGAAATTGGGAATAGCCAAAAAATGAGGCAGTTGGCAATGGGAGCTGAGGCTTCAAAATCACACTGTCATTTTTGCAGTGTCCTACTGGCTACGCAGGTCAACCGTATTCGGTGTTAGAGGGCCTTCACACACACAGTTCATTCACTTAACATTTACGGGTACCGATGACGCGCCAGGCAATGTGTTCTAGGTACTGAAGCTATAGAGATGAACACGATTCCCGTCCTAGCACTTCCCCGGAGGGATGCTCACGCAAGCAATGAATAAATACATGAGCAAGATGGTCAGAGAATGGCAGAAAGCCCTAGGTTTTGGAGTGAAGCCATAAACTCTTCACAAGTAACTATTTTCTCTTTGAGAAACAGCTCTCGGCTTGCTTTTGGGTTCCGTTGTTGTTTGTAAGTTAAAGTAGGGAGGAAGTGGGGTTGATGAGGTTTACGTAACTAAAGGAGTAGACTGTGGAGGATATATGTCACCAATTCGA